TGACTTGGCTAGGATTGTGATTCAGAATACACATCTGGGGCTGGTTTTGAATACTCATAAGAACATAAGAGAAGCCCATGTTTGATCAGGCCAATGGCCCATCCTGTCCAACGCTCTGTGTCACACAGTGGCCAAAACCCAGGTGCCATCAGGAGGTCAGCCATAAGAACATAATAGAAGCCATGTTGGATCAGGCCAATGGCCCATCTAGTCCCATACTCTGTCACACTGTGGCCAAAAATACCAGGTGCCATCAGGAGGCAGGAGGCCCAGCAGTGGGGCCAGGACACCAGAAGCCCTCCCGCTGTTGACCCCCCCCAAGAATACAGAGCATCACTTGCCCCAGACCGAGGGTTCCTATCTATATCTCATGGCTAATAGCCACTGCTCCACCTATTTATCCAATTCCCTCTTGAAGCCGTCCTTGCTTGTAGCCGCCACCACCTCCTGTGGCAGTGAAGTCCAGTGAAGGACTTCCCTTTATCTGTTCCAACCCGACTGCTCAGCAAGTTCATGCCCAGAATTAAACCTTGTTGGTCTTAAAAGTGCCACTGAACTCAAACATAGGCCCCGGTCACACGGAGAATTTGCCACGCGAAAGGCACGAATGTCGGGCGGATTTTTGGGGCGCAATCACACCGCAACATCTGGAAGCGTAGCACACCCGTGGCCAACCTGTGGCATCCTGCCAAAGATGCGGAGTTTAAAAGTACCAAGGAAAGTGCACTAGTATCCGGAAAATGCGCAGCACAGGCGGGCGTCTGATTGTGGGGGCGCTAGTATCCTGTGGCATCCGGTGCCCATCCACATCCTGGTTTTCGTAAGTGCATGCGCACAAACACAAAATTGAAAGCAGTGCTGCTCCGTGGAACTGCGCATGCACACAAACGCGAAACACTTGTGTGATCGCGCTGCGCCACTTCTTTGCCACACTGCAGCATCGCCGTGTGATCGCCAGCTAACAGCCGAAGCACAGAGACTCGGGGAACCATGTGATTGGGCTACTGCGCTTTATTTTGCTCCGGGGCGACCAACATGGTGACCCACCTGAACCTGTTTCAGTATGCTGAGATTCTTGGGTTTAAAGAGAAGTTTCAAGTGAAATCATTCTCTTCCTTCCTCTCTCTCTCCGATAGAGACAGCTTGTCCGTTCAGGAAAGCCGTGGGTGTGTGAAACTGTGTTATGAAGCAGAGCTTCTTCTATCCCTCGATGTAAACAGCCGAGAACGTGTTCCGTTCCTTGCCTTAATCCACCAAACCACTAAGTACTGAGCCCTTCTAAAGGAAGAGGCAATGCACTTATTCTTTTCATTTTGGAACGAAGGTGTTTGTGTGAATCACTCTGGGGGGAAGGCGGAGGGCGGTGGGGAAGGAGCAGAAATTACCTCAGATTCCTCTTCCATCTCCTCAGGCTCCCCTGGTAACAGCAGCATGTAAACCCACACAGTTATCGGTTAATATTGTGTCCCTAACCACTCACAACCCACACCATAACTAAAATCCGTTTGGTCACTGATACTAGAAGGTGCGACGACGGGAGAGGGTGGGGAGCCAGGAAAGCACCTGGCCATCTCGGGAGCACTTTACGTTGTGCCTATATATTTCCTTGTGCCTGTTAGGGACGCCATTCCCCAGTTGGGGGGAGGGGATCCCCCGATTTTCGGGGATCCCACCCCCAAACGTCATGTAACCATAGAGTTCTGCCCAAAATATCAGTGTCACTGTGTGATGTTGCCGACATGATGACGTCACTTCCGTGTGACGTCATTATGTCACTCACAAGTCGTGCGCTCCCCCCCCCCCCCACTCAAAAGTCCCTCCCCCGGGTCAATCCGACCTGGCAGCCCTAGCACCCGTACTGGAATTAAACCTGTTCCTAACAGTAACGCTAAGCATATCCTTGTACAGGGGTCCACGGCCTTTTTCAGCCTGCAGGCACCTTTGGAATTCTGGCATGGTGTGGCGGATGCAGCCCCAAGATGGCTGCCCCAGGAGGTGAAGCCAGCCACAAAATGCCCACCACAGGTACCTTCAGTCACACAGTGAAGATCAGTCTCCTGTAGCGGCAGAGGCTGCCAAGGCCAAATGCACAGCCAATCAAATCTCCAATGGCCAATCACAAGCCTTGGTGGGCAAAAGCTTTATGTGGCCCCACCCATTTTCTGAAAACACTTGGCGGGTGCCAGGATAGGTACTGGTGGGTGCCCATGGTGCTTATGGGCACGGCTTTGGGTACTCCTGCCCTACTAAGACTATCCTCCTTCCTGGCCTCACACATGTAAGGAAAAAAGTGTCTGGGAGGTTGTACGTAAAAGGGGAAAAAAGCTTTTAAGAAAAAAGAATTAACCCAGGACTGACCCGTCCAGGAGAGATTACTAAAATCTGGGTTAAGAGTTCAGAATAGTCGTGAATCTCAAAGGACTGTGATACTAAAATGCCATGTTTTTTGCTCTCCCAACCAGTGTCTACCAGTTGCGTTACTGGGTTAGGCTGCAGGCACCGGGGGCCAGGGTTGTCCGGTCCCCTTGCTGTGCTGGCAGGGCGATCTGAGGAGCGTTACGGGATGTCCCCGATACGGTGACATCACCTGGAAGTGACATGTTGTTGGCAACGCTCTGGTTTGAGGGAAAAACTATATAGGTTTAGGCCAAATTTACCACAGAGTTTTGCCCTCAAACCAGAGTGTCCTGTGCAATGTCCCCGACATTATGACATCACTTCTGGGTGACGTCATTGCATTGATGATGTTGTGTGGGGACGTGGTGGTTTGGGGGCGGGGTTTCCCCCACCGGCCAGCAGTGGACTGAAGCGCCGAAAACTGGGGGAACCCCTGCCAAGACCTGAGGACTGGCAACCCTAACTGGGACAATGAGAGGCTGCCAAGTCACCAGTCTGCCCAGCCTGCTGCTCTCATTAAGCCTCCGCACAAGCCGACAGCTGGCTTTTCATCTAGGGTTGCCAAGTGGACTTACCCCTCGCGGCGGGGGAGCCTCGCCGCAGTCTGGGAGTTGTTGCTAGACGCGCCGGCAGCACGTCACCGGAAGTGACGTGCGACGTTGCTGACGTTGGGGGACGTGGGGGGCGTGGCCGAGCTCCACTGACGAGCTCAGCCACGCCCCCAACGACAGCAACGTGGCCTCTGGTGACGCAGCTTCGGGGGCGGGGTTCCCCCCGGGGCCCAATTCCGCCGCGGCGGAAATTGGGCCTCCAAAGTGGGGGATTCTCTGCCCCCCGGTCCCATTTGGCAACCCTATTTTCATCCCCCATTTTGAAAACACATCTGGGTGTTACAAAAAGGAAAGGAAACAGCTGCATACATTCCATGTTACTTTAATAGCTCTCAATACATTCTATGACCATTGTGCCCGCAAAGGGACCCCGCTAGCCCACCCATTAACATTACTGTCCCCCAGGGTGGGTGTAGAAACAGCCTTGGCCTTATTTCACAAGCATTTTCTTCTATGCCCTGTGTCAGGCAGATCTCCGCACCATGCACAGAATCCTCTTCGACAAACTTACACCGAATAACACTTTCATTTCTAAGTACTTCTGCTGGTTTCTGTAACTGGAATGTGGTTGTTGATTTGGGACATGCTGCTGGGTGAATAGCAGGCACACTCCATTTTGAGTCTTATTTACTAAAACTCCCATTCCCTGTAAGGAAGCCTTGTGGCACAGCAAGTAGCGCAACCGGCTGGAAAGGCAAAGGGTCCTGGTTTGAGCCCCAAGATGGGACCTAAGTCTATTTAGCCAGCAAAAAGCCATTAGGAAAAAAGTTTTTAAAGAGGAACACAAGCCGCATATAGTTATTAGCCCCATGTGAGCCCAAAGGTTTCTTTTTTTATTTAGGTTTAAGACTTAGTCTTAAGAGGGGTTTTTTGTCTTAAGTCTTAAGAGGGTTTTTTTGTGATCTGTTCTTTAACCAAACCAAAAATTAGTTTGGATTTGTTTTTTGTGTTTGCCTTTTCGAGCCACAAAGTTCCAGTCTGGGGGGCCTTTCTTTCTCTTGCCGAGGTGGTTTGGGATGACAGTAAGTGCTTTAAGCTCCGAGCAAGGTCCAGAGACTTCCTCCAAAGAACCCTGGCCTTGCTGTAGGTCAGTCATGCATAAACAACTGGTGATACCAGATTTTGGGGGGGAGGTTGAGGGGAATGCATTGATCTGTGTGTGTGTGTGTGGGTGGGTGCACCTAGAGGCACATGGAAGGCTTGGGGTTACGCATGGATCACTTTTCCTGAAGAAACTCCTGTTCATCAGGGCACAGCCCAATCGCATCGCAAAGAGCAGTACTTTGGCACATCGCACTCCTCCAAATGAAAATGCCGTTTGGTTGAACTAACATCCACCAGGGCCTTCTTGGCCTTCCTACTGTTTCTGTGCCACTTCATACAGGCATGGCAGAAGTTACTTCTTGATTCCAAATCCCAACTGTCCATGTCACTCCCCGTTTGACCTCAAAAGCACCCATGCAATTCCAGTTTAGGACTGCCTAGCGACCTTATTCTACAGACCGGCCTACAGTTTAAATGAGTTGGCTCCACCAAGTGAAATAAATGGATGTTTGAGGGGGAATGGAGGAATCAACTGGCTTTCCTAAATCTACCACACAGAACAAACTATTAGCCTGTGGTAACCATGCAGCAAAGTGCCCCCATTCTTAAATTCTATTTTTTATTTGGGACATGTCACTAACATGCAAAATTAAGATACGGACAAGACACTGCAAGCATCCAAAGGCCGTTTCTACTCTTTCATGCCGAGTTCAAATACATCATGACTTCCCCTAAATCTTCTTACAGTGTACATACTGAATCACTGGCAGGGTCACGCCAAGTAATTTTAGCACCTGAGGCAGAAAATCCCCTCCCTGCCGGTAACAATCTTATGAACGAAGTAACAAATCATTTGCTCCCATTATCGGGACTCAGAATTCAGTGTGAAGCCGTTATCCCAGCTGCCTACCGATAGGAACATTCCAGAAGACCGGGTAACTTCTGCCATCACATGAAGCTGTTTTGCTTATTCTGCTCCAAAGCCATTTCGTTCACGAGCTGTTCGATGGACGACTGAATGGCCGACTTGACCAGCGAAGCGGCCGTTTCGATCAGAAGCAGCTCGTGCTGTTCGGGAGTCCGGCCCTCCTGATCGTTCACCCCTAAGGGTGAGGGAACCTGGGAGGCTGTTTTCCCTTCTCTCTTATGACCGCTGCTCCCTGCCCTAGAATCACTACCTTTGCCTGATTTTTTGTTCCCTTTCTGTTTGCTGGTATAAGAAAACGGGAAAAATTCACAGGCTGGGCTGGTCTCCTCCTCGTCCTGGTATTCCTCCGCTTCAGTGATAGTAATAACTATGCCCACTCCCTGAGGTAATTTATTTTCCTCAGATTTTGCTTCCTCAGTGAAACAGTTTGGCACACTCAAAGCCTCACTGGCCAGTGTAGATGGGCTACAGTGGAGGAGGACCTCCACTGAATGGCTTTCCTTGGCCTCCTTATTCTCCTCCCCAACATTAATGTTCTTTTCAGATGTTTCCAGCTCAACCTCCTGGGTGTGGCCGTGATTGGTACCTTGTACTTCGATGACTCTGGATTCATCTTCTGGCAGGTCTTGAGAAATGAGAGGGTCGATCTCAACACCCAAGTCGACTTTCTTGTTCTCTGCTTCTTCAGGACTTCCGTACAGGCTTCCATGATGTAGCTGGAAGATTTGCTTCTCCTGCTCTGTTTCAAGCACGGTTTCAGAATGGATTATTTCTGACTGAATGAGGCAATCTGTGTATTGATCAGTTCCTGGCCTCATCTCCACCGCCAAAGTGTTCTCTCCTGAGGAGATAATCATGTCTCCGTGGGTAATTTCAACGCCACGGTCAGTCTCTTCAGGAGCTCTGCCACAGGACTGTACACTGCTCACTGGATTGTCCACGGCTATGCTCTCGGGCTCACTGTTAGCTTTATTATCCAAAAGGCTTGTTGTTTCATTTGTTTTCTCACCCTGGTCTAGCTCCTCTGTCCTTTCAGAATGACCGGACTTTTTCTTTCTTCTGGAGAACCTTAGGCAGGGAATTTTAAGTCCAGAGCCAGCCTGTTCCTTCGGCAAATGCGACAAGCTAGAATCTTCGATGCTACTCTCCACTTGTACCTGGGAACCTAACTGCACTTCCTTTTTCAGAGCAAATTTGGACCGCCTTCTCAACGTCACAAGACGTTTGAAGGCCAACCAAGCTCCTCCTGACGTCCAAGATGGCTTTTGCTCCTCTGTTTCACTGTTCAACACAGTGCTGGAATGATGGTTTGTGGACTTCAAGTTTAGTGACTCCGATCCCTGGTCCTCATCTTTGTCCGTTTCTTCCCTACAGGTCTTCTTCCTTCTCTTAAAGCAAAAGGCAGAGGCCTTCTTGGTTGGGGTCTCATTTGGGGAGATGGTTTTTGCTCTCTTTGGATCTTCTAATGGCTGCGTACCCTCCCTCTGAATTTCTGTAGCAGTTTCCTCCATGCCTTGGACTTATATTGTTGTTTCTGAATATTAAATTTTGTTAATCTGGTGAAAGGCACACTTGGGGGCAGATCTACACCACAAATATATCCATTTTATACCAGTGTCATTGTCATGGCTTCCCCCACAATGAATTCTGGGAAATGTAGTTTGCTGATGGTACTGATGATTCTCTATTAGGCAGCTCCTGCTGCCTGAACCACAGTTTCCAGGGGTCTCTGGGAAGAGGGAATACCCATTTATATCTGAAGTGTGCAAGCATACAATTATAAAACTTTATGTAATATCCCTTTGCAAAGTCTTTTCTTGATCTGACAACAGCTGGAAGCTTTTGTAGCAGTGTTACCTTACACAAACATCTTCGGAAAGACTTAAAAAAAAATCAGTGTTCCTTTTTTCTTTGTTTATTTTTTAACAAGACATTTAAAAAGCTGGCTGTTGTTTTTTTATCCTCCCATATCTTACTGAAAAGGTTCCACCCCAATGTCTGCGGCCATCCGTTTTAATCATCTCCTTTGATGGGATGCAACAGTTTTTCATCAGTATCTTGGCACTTTAATTGTTTAAAATAGATTTCAGATCAGAGCAGAAACTGACCCTGTTCCATTAAGGATGACCCCGGGAGACGAGACCCACTTGCTCATATAAGTACACTTTTCTAATCAAGCATTTTCTCTCGGAGAGACCACAAAAGAAGACATCTCAAAAGGCTCTGCTCCTCCACCGGCTTGAGACATTTTCTCCATTGTCCCTCCTTGTTTGGTTCTTCTGGCCTTTCAGTTCCCTTTTCAACTGGTGTCCTTCTCCATTATCAAACACGACAATGTGCTTCATTGATGGGATTGCTTTGCCAGCATCTGCAGGGAGAAAGCAAGAGGAAAAGGCATCATGCTAATTGCGTCCACACAATAAATCTTCCAAAGAATTGAACTGCTTCGTAAAAAAAAATAAAAATCCATATTTGACCATGAGCTGCGTGCACATTCAAGCCAACTGTCTCCATTTAGCAGACATAATCCCTATCTTCTATTTTCTGTTACCTGTCAATAACTGTCACTATTTCTGCTTTGGGGGGGACGCTGTACTGCTAAAGTTTATTTCTTTATGCATTCGAATTATTTACAGAATTTACACTCCGCCTCTCTGCTGAATTAGGGCCACCGAGGCGGTGAGCGATTAAAAGCAGAAGGTAATAAAATGATAATAAACCGCTTTTAAAACCAAGAGTAAACTACGTATGTGAGAAACAGAGACCCAGCAGTCAAAATATAGAGCTGGAAAGAGGGGTCATTGAAGGAACAGCAGACAAAACAAAAACAGTCTTCACCCGCTGACAGAAGACAGTTATAGAAGGGGACAGGCGAGTCACTCTGGGGAGAGAATTCCAGGGGTTTGGTGCCACAACTGAGAAGGCCCTATTACCACGCCTCAGAAGGCAGGGCCTTGGGAGATGGCTGCAGTAGTTGGGTAGGTTCATAACGGAGTCAGCGGCCCTTCAGGTATGTGGGTCCCAAGCTATACAGGGCTTTAAAGGTCAACACCAGCACCTTGACCTGAACTTAGAAACAAATTGGGAGCCAGTGTAGATGGGCCCTTACAGCCCACTCCAGTCAGCATCCTAAATACATCTTTCTGTACTAGGCTTGTCAAGTCCCCCTGGGAGATGTGGTCCCTTACAGCCCACTCCAGTCAGCATCTCTCTGTACCAATTATCAGTTCTCTCCAGTGAGCGTCTAGAAGTTAAATCTTGGGGGGGGGGTTTTTGAGTAAAAGTATCCTAACGTATATATCTTGACTCACATGTACAAAGGGAGCGGTGGCGCAGGGAGCAAAAGCACCTGCCTTAACATCTAGTGAACAGTCTGTACCAATTATCAGTTCAGTTCTCTGCAGTGAGCGTCTAGAAGTTAAAACTTGGGGGGGGGTTGAGTAAAAGTATCCTACTGTATATATCTTGACTCACATGTACCTACATGTTTGTGCATGAACAATACAGCACTGCCATTTCACGGCCTGCCATTTCACAGCCTGCAGTTGCCGGGGCATTTTTTAAAGGGTTTATAAGAGGTTAAATACTGGGCTCCATGGATAGTCTGACCCAAAGCATAGTGAACAGCTCTGCTTGTGGGAGGCAGCCATATTGTGGTGTCAACCCCCTCCATTCTCAAAATTCCAGGTAGAACAAGATTGGGGGTCCCCCCTCTTTAAGAAACTTCAGGTAGAGGCTTACCACACTAGGGAGAGAACAAAAGGATTTCCGGGGAGCCGCTGAGGGATCACTTAGCAACAAGAGAGAAAAAGCCTCTGGGGGCAGAGAAAGGAGGTTCTGCGGAGAGAGAGAGCGTTGAGGGGCTGAATGAAGAAGTGCTGCCATTCTGCTGGAAGAGAAATGAAGCGGCCTAGAGGAGAAGATGGCCACTGACTGGAGCTATTGAGAAGGTGGTTTGAGGAAGAACTAAAACGCAGTTTGGTGTGGGCCATTTTCCCAGCAACTGTTCTAAGAACTAGAGAAAGGATGTTTCCTGAAACCCATAAAGAAGAAGAGAAGAAGAGATTGGCTTTATATCCCGCCCTTCACTACCTGAAGGAGTTTCAGAGTGGCTTACAATCTCCTTTCCCTTCTCCGCCCCACAACACACACACACCCTGTGAGGCAGGTGGGGCTGAGAGAGTTCTTTCGAGGACCGCTCTTGAGAGAACAGCTCTGAGAGAACTGTGACTGACCCAGGGTCACTGCAGCGGCTGCATGTGCAGGAGTGGGGAATCAAAACTGGTTCTCCCAGATTAGAGTCCACGCTCCTAACCACTACACCAAACTGGCTCTCCACTACACCAAACTGGGAGATATATTTATGCATCCAATTTGACAATCACTAGCCTGGGATATAGACATATAGAGCATCCAGGTATTTTCTGGATTTATATTTTGCTGGAGGGTTCCCCCCCCTAATATCCCATTATGCAACAGAGCAAACTCTCTTTGGTTTTTGCATAAGTAAAATGTAAGAACACCCTGTCCAGCATCCTGTTTCCCACCACGGCTAACCAATTGCCCTCTAGGGGCACCAAGCAGGACAAGACAGCAAGGCTTCCCTCTGATGTTGCCTCCTTGCACTGATATATATATATATATAGAGAGAGAGAGAGAGAGAGGCTGGCTGCCTCTGAACGTGGAGGCTCTCTTTAGTCACCTTGGCCAGTTGCTTTGGGTGGACCTCTCCTCCTCAGAGACAGTCAAGGTGCAGAAATTTGTATCTGTTTGCATTTTGTTTATTTATATCCCGCTTATCTCCCCAGTATGGACTCAATGCCGCTTAGAACATCGCCCTCCCCCTCTTCCGCTTTCTCACAACAATAACCCTGTGAGGTAGGCCAGGCTGACAGTTTGCGATGGGCCAAAGGTCACCCGCTGAGCTTCCATGATAGAAGTAGGGATTTGAACCCGGGCCGCTCATGATTTGAGTCCCCCACTCTATCCACTACACCACACTGGCTCTCCAAATTCAGCATACAGAAAGAAATTCCAGTGACAGCAGTCCTTTACTGGGTCTCAGGGGATTTTGTTGCCCTGACCTGGATAGCCCAGGCTAACCCGATCTCGTCAGATCTCAGAAGTTAAGTAGGGTCAGCCCTGGCTACTATCTGGACGGGAGACCTCCAAGGAATACCAGGGTCGCGATACAGAGGCCGGCGACGTCTCTTGCCTTAAAAACAAAGTCAAGTTCGCCACCTAGTGGTGCATAACGCTAAAAGAGCTAGAACTTCTGGCTGCCAGACAATCTTAGGATCTTCTGGCTATAGTACACATACTGCCAAGCGACGACGACGACGACGATTATAATAATGATAATTGTGATTATGATGATAGTAATAATAATGAGGAGGAGTGAAGAAGAGATTGGATCTATACCCCACCCTTCACTAGCTGAAGGAGTCTCAGAGCAGCTTACTCCCTTCCCCTCCCCACAACAGACACTCTGTGAGATGACGACGATGATGATAATAGGTTTTGTTTGTGAGGTAATAATAATAATAATAGTAATAATAATAATATTGGGGTTTGTTTGCTTTTGTTGCTATTTTAAAGCTTTGTCTGCTTTTTAAATTATTTCTACTGCTGCCTCACTGTTTATTTTTATTTGCTTTCAGCGACTGATATTTGTCATATGATCCTGTCAGTCGCCTCCACCATTCTCCTGTTCCAGGACGGTGTGCCCAAGAAGCATTGCAAATAAACAAACACTGGCGCTGGCTCAGTTGGTTCGGATTCCAAGGAGGAGTCCACGAGTGTGCTTTTTTCTACGGCTCTCTGGTTTCGGAGGCGCAACTGCCCGGCCAGCGTGAGGAGAACAATCTGAACATCCCGTCGGGGGCTTCTCCGAGGCCCATTAAAAAAAATATCATTTAGAAACGCTCTACAGGGCAGCGAGCGCTGCATTTTTACGAAAGAGCAGCGGAACTGCACGAGGGAAACTTATTTATAGCCTCTCTTTGCCTTTCCATGGCAACTGGAATATGAATCATTAAGCCAATGCGATCAACCCATTCGGTACATCTGTGGGTTAATAGGCATGAAGCCTTTCAGCCGGGGCTGCCGGTTCGGATCACGACGTGGGGCAAGGAAGAGGTCGCAGCAGAAAGGCAAGATCCGCGGTGGCTCTTAAATCGATCTGCAAAACAGTCGTGTGCGTTAGAGCTTCTTCATACCCTTAAAAAGTACTTCCTATCAACTACAGTCATGTGATCAATAGCTAGTCACTCTTCCATTAAACAAAGGAGTCTGCAGTCTTGGCACGCACCTCTCTCAGACCGAAGCTGTTTAATATGTGCAAGGCAAGACCGAAGCTGTTTAACATGTGCAAGCCAAAGGACTTGGCGACAGCAGCAGAAGAGGAAGAAGAAGAGGAGGAGGAGGAGGAGGAGACTGGATTTATACCCCCCCTTCACTACCCGAAGGCGTCTCAGAGTGGCTCACAATCCCTTTCCCTTCCCCTCCCCAC